CAACGTGAGTAAAAAAGAAAATATTTCTTTCTGGATTGATATCATACAAATCTACAGATAAGGCAAGTGTGGGGTTGTAGAAGCTGAAGGTTGACATTGTTTAGGTACCTTTCTTGTTCTAGCTGTGTGTTAAGCTGGTAAAGAACTCAAAATCCTTCTCCTTTTGTATTATTGCTTTTTCTTAAATTTTACAGAATAAAGTTAGGGAAGTTTAGAACACCGTAGTCTCAAATAACTTCACGAGAAGGCTTTCTAAGCTACTTGTAGAAGATATCTGGGCTTGTTTGCATTGAACAGATCCCCTTGGCGTTGCCACAGAAGGTGATCTGGTCCATATTCAGCATTAGCCTGGCTGTGCGTAGGTCTGCCTGGGTAGACAGAAGAGGGAGTGATCTTTTCAGGCGTTGAGGAGAGGAGAGGGCTTGCTTTCTAACTGCTCTAGTGCTTTCTTAGCCTGTCATGACATTTGCCATCTTTGCTTAAAGCATTCCTCTTCCTCCTCTTCCTCTTGCTGTCTTTAGAAGTTTTAACAGGTCCCTTGTGAGGCGTATAGATGTCACACGCTCTTGGATAAAAAAAAAAAAATTTAGACTGAACATACGAAACTTTGCATACCTAGAGATGATTTCATCTTTCATGTGCTGACATATACATTTTTTTTATGCTAAATAGAGACTAATGCTTTTGCTATAGGAACAATGAAACTTTAAAATTCTATTTTTAGGCGTCAAGAGTAAAAAAGAAGATTGGTTAAAATATGATCCAGTGAAGCAAAGAAAGCTGGAAGGGACCTCTGCAGGTGAAATGACTCATGATTATCCATTTCAAAACAAAAATTAGATATTCTTTACTTCATTTTAAGTGTTTCTTTATACCAGCATGAAATATTTCAGTTTGTTCTTTGCTGGTTTTGCTGCCCAAATGGACATCAACTAGACGTATATGGATTTCAAAGATTTATGGAGAGTTTTGTTTCCATAAGCATGTGTTACTATGTTTTCCCACATTCACGTATGCAGTTGAATCAAAGGTTGTACTAGTGGTAGTATTTGACTGCGGCTTAAAAATGCAGATAAAACCCGAGCCTATTACTTCCTACCTTAAAATGTAGGAAGTACTGTAAAGAGTATAGAGACTATGAAGACAAAGTGATTTTTGTTTTATTTGGCTTTGTCAATAAGTTGACACTGTCTGCTCATGCACCGGTGCTGGGACATGTGTCCGACAGAATTATTTGTGTGTGCAAAGGAAAAGGAGTGCCAGCTGCTCCACCCTCCACGTTCCTCTTGGTTGGCGATGGCAAATTGGCTGTGGATGGGTCTTTTTTATATCCTGCATCCTGTACTGCCAATGGTCCCAACGGTGTCACCTCAGTCTTGCTCCTTTGTAAATTTGGGGCAGGATGCTTGCTCACTGTCTTTGCTTCTTTGCTTTAAGTACCTTTCTAACCTCTCACAGTCTGTTTTCGTGTTGGCCTAGCAGTAAGAGATGGTGTGTTCAGTGCTCTGACTCTTCTTGCCATTCTCATTACCAGAGTGCCATTGCCAGCAAGTCTGTACTGTGGCCTTGATACAAGCAGCATTTTTCAGTGCTTGCCAGTCTTCTGCTGCTGTTACTTGTGTCCTTGGCTATCAGTGTTTGCCATTTTTTTTAACTCTTTCTCTTTTTGTTGAATCTCTCAACTTGTCTAATGCGTGTTTCCATTTGTACCTTTCTTAATGTTCTTTGGAAATTTCGCATACAAAGCCAGCTGGTTAGAATTTTAAAGATGCATTGGAGATGCAGTTAAATTTCACATGATCGGTGCTTCAGTGAGTTTGTGGCATCCTTTTTGATAGTGGGGAGAAGACTTCCATATCCCAAGTGTAAGCACTGAGAGTTGTGAAACTACCAGACTTTTGGATTAACCAGCTTTATCTGTCTTTCAGTTGAGGACAGTATTCCACTTGATACAGCTATACAAATCCTGGAAGGAGATGATGAGGCACTTCACTTTCCAGTCAAAGACTCAAAAGACATGTTTCAGACTTACAGGAAAATGTATCTGGAAAAAAAATGCAAAAGCCTAGATAGCATTCCTGTGTCATAGGTCTGTCTGGATATCACTGGGAAAAAAACTGCCAATACCAAAATATGTTTTTTCCTATTTGCTTCGTATTTGTGAATGAATTTAAATTTTATATGTTCTTGATGTTGGCAGGTTTTTTTTTATCAGCCTCGGGTTTTGAATGACTGAAATTTCACTTATGCATTCTGTATTTGTTGCACAAATAGGGTTTGGTGCTGAAAATGTCACTGTCAATTCTATTATTGCTCCTTGACATATTTGCATTTTTATTGTTTCTAAGTATAGGAGTTAGTTGACTTAAAAAGAAAAAAAAGGCACACAAACAAACCTCAAGTTCAGTTTAAATTGTCATAATCTGTTTCTTTCCTGATTATGGAAAACTTCTACTCGTGATGCTTTCCATTGCTGGCAGTGGAAAAATATTCCTCATGGAAAGTGATTGCAGTGGATTCTCGAGCATTATACCTTTGTTTCTACTTGTAGTCTGCTTGTTGTAATTCTACCAAGGCTATTTTTTTTAACACATTAGAGTGCAAAAATTGTAAAATCAAACACACAGAGCAGGGGATACCATGAAGTATTTATGCTGCTACCTAGTTTTATTATGTTTATTTTTGTAAAACTTGGAGAAATTGAACTCTGAAATCTTCATTTGAATACAAGGCTGTTTACTGATGCTTAGCCGAAGTGTTTTTTTCCCTCAATTTTTGTCTCTCTCTCAGCTTTCTTCGCACTGAAAGAAAAGTGCAATTGTTGAGATCAAAGGAGTTTGAATTTAGTTTTGTCTAAACTATGTTGCTCACTTTAACTAGGCTGTAATTAATTTCTTTGTTTATAAACTATGTTAAATAATATTTTACTACACATTGACTGTGACATAAGAGTTATATTTGTTGCTGGATTTTCTTTAAAATGTCTTTTCGTTATTGTTCAAAATTTTTAATTGAATTGTATTTTTTCAGAATTGTGGTATTTGATTCTTTTTGTCTGTTTGAACCTTTATACTGAAAGTAAAAACTGTAGATACTTTACTGACTGATTTTTATACCTGAAATAAAATTTTGAGGGCTTACTTTGCCTTTTTCACTATAAATAGTAACTAATTGTTTATTGCAGTTAGTTAAATAGAGATTGAAGATATTCCTAGAGATGAAAAGCAATTTAAAAATAATTCAATGACGTCTTCTTCAAAAGGTTTTAAAGCTAAAACAGAGGACAGAACTTGAGTTCAAGCTTTTGTCAAAGAGCATGTAGTTATTACCTTCAAAATCACATCAGGAATGTTTTTCTCTTCAGCATCCTTTGTTACTGCTTTGAATTGGTGAATTAGGATCAGAGCTCAAAAAGCCTTCAGTATTACTCCATTCCTGGAGAGAAATGCCTGCAGGAATCTGCTACACTTAGTTTACTGGAAGAAGAAAACTGTAAGTACTATAACTACTTATAGCTAGAGGATTGCTGAGCCTCATCATGGCTGGGATCTGTGCAGCATGTTGTGCTCCAAACAGAGGCCTGTCAAGTGTTTGTATCATCTTGGGTTTCAGGCATCTGAATGGTCTTAAGCTGAATCTTCTGCTTTCACCTACAGAAAGACGACGACCACACTCTGCTAGGGAGGGTGTTCTGACAGCAGAAAAGGGTAAGACTTGGAAATGCTGCTTTGCATTCAAAAGTCTGTGGAAGAGGAAAGCAATAGATTCCAGTCTTTCTGACAATTTTCTCCGTGCACACACTTCTGTAAGAAACTGATTCATGGTCTTGGCATGAATACGTGCATTTTGTCTCCTATCATAAGAAAACTCGTAAGAAAATCATAAGAAAACATATTTCTTATCATCTACTTGAGTGATGTGCAAGCAGGTCAATAGAGTGGGAGTCCATGTAACAGCAAGATAACAACTTGAACATGCTTAACCCCAACACAGTTACTTCCTTTGACCGGATATGAACACACATGCCATAATTTCAGCTGCCATTTGCTTAACACAGATGTCATGATACGACGTTGTAAGTCACTCTCCCACTTTTGTATTGCCATGTGTCCAGATGTGCTGTGACCTGATCTTGAGAACCTAGAGCAGAGCAAGGATCAAGAACAACATGTGCAGGAAAGGATGCTTTACCAAGTGCTGGGCTCGGAACTTGAAAGAGTTTTACCAGCACATTTGGAGCAGACCGTACTTTCCTTCCCAACTATTTTAAGTACCGCCCCCCCTTTTTTTTTTCCTTTTCCTTGTCATCTCATTACCTGAATACTGCCAGGCTGCCTGCACAGCAATGTATGTGCTGACGTATGCCCCACCAGCAGACCACGTGGGATGGAGTTAGGGTGCGTATTAGGGCCGTGGAAAATGGGGATCCGAGCATGGGGTGCTGTAGAGACATTCAAGGGTTGCTGATTGCAGAAGTGCGGGAGATGTAAGACATAAATCTTTGACAAACAAACTTACATTACTTTTCTGCCTACCTAGTTATTTAATAGTTTAATTTCAATGAGTAAAAAAAGTGCGTAAGTTTCTTTTGCTTGAGAAGTACTCAGTGTATCCTGAATCCTTGCAGAAGCAAGATTCACAGTTGACAGAAGCAACAGAAATAGTCAAGGAGAGTTCGTTGCAGGATTCACCTTTAAACCGAACTGGAATTGGAATTAGTTTGGCACAGAGAGCTGCTTGTTGATGCTAAAAGAAATAAGGGACTAAACTGGGCAGTGCTAGCACAAACCCCAGAGGCTTGTTATATTTAAGTGTACAGTGTGTTCCCAGGAGGACTTCAAGCAACAGACAGAATAATGTAGATTAGAAACAGCAGGCTATACATGCAGAGAATATGAATGAAGACTAGGATAAATACTCTACCTGGTATAAAATTACTCTGCAGCTAACAAGGAAAAGAGCCCAGTGGACGATAGACTCTGGCCTACCCTGGAAACATATCTTGTAAGACAGTTACTCAGAAGTAAAGAAGAGTCAAAAATCCTAGCAGAAACCAGCAGGACCACCACAACAGTGGAACAGGCATTTTCTCCCAAAGACTTATCTGCAAGATTAGAACTGGATCAGAGAGCACAGGTATAGGTAACTTTTTTGAAAGTGTCCATAGATATGAATGAGAGATTCATGTTCCTTTGCCATCCTCAATGCAGGAGGAGAAGACAAACGGAACCTTAGTACCAATGTTGAGCATGTCTGTGTCACTAAGACAAGATTGGCTACCTTCAAATATGAGCAAATATCAACGCACTAAAACAAAATGACAGTAGTCCGACAAGATCACAAAGGCAGGAAAATGCCAGGGTTTTTTGTCAACTGGGGTCCCTTTGCCAAGAGATATTGACAAAAACAAAATTGTCTGCTCTTATTGATGGGGAATAGCTAGTGCAGTGGGAGTTATCCTCAGGTTATGTCGGAGGTTGTAAGACATTGGTAATTTGTCCAGCTCTATAAACAAATGTCCCATAATGCAGTTTGTGTTCGATGGTGCCCCATCCAGCATAGTTACTGTTATTTTAAAGTGCTATGTGCAGTCTCTAGTGTATTAACTGCATAGCACTTTTGCCAATATTGTAATTGCTTTGATAAATTGCAGTGACTGATAAATTGGCTACTGTCCATTCAGACAGCTGCTAGGAGGAAAAGACATGCAAGGAGCAGCATTGTGGCTACACGGAGTAGCTACAGGGAGTAGAATAAAAATCCTGAAGACCATCTGCTCTATAGAAGCAGCCTTGATATACACATAAACATCACAAGTTAATATCAAGTCTCTTATTCTGGTCAGTCTGGCTTGACACTGCCCTGCATGACAAGAGGACTGACCACACTCCAGTGCTGTCTGCTTCACCTGGGGGCATCTCCAGTGGCTTCAATAAAAACACAGTTCAGCAGCTTAACTAACAAGAAGAACTTTCCATAGAGAAACTTGATGTTACCTCTCTGCATTTCTATTCTGCATCTCATGCATCTGTGTTTGAATAACTTCTGAGCTGCAGGCACGTCCAAAGTGAATTTCATCTCTGGTATGAGCTTAAGATCGCTTCCTATAAGATTTAAGCATGTATCTGAGTCTCCCCTATTTTGAATTTTAAAATGGTGTTATAACAAAAAGATATTTTCCTTGCAGAAATAAGCAATAGCATGAATAAACCACAAATTTCTGATGCACTTTAATATATGGACGTAACTTAGGAATACGCATTTCAGTATACAACTAAAAGCTGGTACTGAGGATTAAATGGTTTTCTAAATGCTTTTGATTTCCTGGTATTAATGTCAAATGACATTTAGCTGTGTGTGTTTTGCTGTGGGTAAACTGTGAGTAAAACTGTGGATAGATCCTTGTCATCTCTTGCCTAAATGAACTCAGGAAAAGCCTCATCTGTTGTAGCGAACAGGGCAATAAGAAAGAGGTATTTAGTAAACGACTGTATCTTGAAGATACTTGTACTAGATTTACTTGTGAACACTAGTCCTAAAATGCTTTTAAGTAGCATTAATTTGGCATTGGGATGACAGGTTTGCACACACAATGGAAAGGAAGGCTCTTGGGGGAAACAAAGGAATAAAATGATGAGTCCTGCAGCTGTGTGGCAGGGATGCACTTTGTCCTGGGTGAATATACATGACTTTAAGCTTTGCTGGGCTTCTGGGATGCTTTATTCCATCTCAGCTCTGAAACTGCATGGATTTTTCTGTGATGTGACTGTCACCAAGTCTGCTGCTTTGGTCTCTTTGTTGGGAACAGGAGGAGCGTCAAGCAGATGTTTGTTAACAGGGACAGTGCCTCGACGCTTCTTGTGGCTTCTTGTCCATATAGATTCTGTAGTTGCAAGTGCTGCTCCTTCTCTTGGGTCAGTTGGTCTTTTTGAAGGGTTGTTTTCACCTGAAGACACCATCTTTCTGCAGCCTCATCAGCTTTATAAGGTTTATTCTTAATTCTGACGTGAATGCAGTTTGTCAAAAGGAAAATGTGCACTGAAAATGTGCTGTTTTACTGCTGCTTGAAAAATCAGCAGGAGGAGTCCTTGGCTTAGTCAGGCTGAGATGTCCCTTTAGTTTTGACTCTATTCAGCATTTTAATGCGAGAGAGTCTGGTAAA